TTTTTTTTTTTTTTTTTTTTTTTTTTTTTTTTTTTTTTTTTTTTTTTTTATAAAAAAAATCGAAAATTCTGCAAATGGTTCTTTATGTTCGAAATTTCCGATTGCGCGAATTAGATTTTACATTATATCATAATTATACAATTTTGATACTCTTTTTTTCAGGATGATTGTAGTTTTAACGTTTGAGCTTTTTTTCTTCAAAATAACTTATATTCTCATTTTTTATGCAATAATATTTTTTTTTCAAATTTGTTTTCACTTAAATTACATCAATTTTAAAGTATTTGAAACTAGCAAAAGGGATGCAGTTATTGAAAATACGTTTCTTTTAATAAAATCATACTTATAATAAAATGAATAAGTACTCTTAATATTTCAGTAGTTCATATTAATTTTTCAGTAATATTCTATTTTATCATTTTTATTCTTAGCTCCCTTTTTTCCTTTCTATTTTGTGGGCTTTTATGGGCTGCTCATCATCTATTTTGGGCCACGTATCTTTCTGTTTTTCTTTTTTGTTACATGCATATCTTTCTGTTATTTTTCCTCTCTCCCTTCTTGTATATATGCAGCGTTTTGCAATCAATAATATCATATGGGATATTGAGTATTCTCTTGCAGTTATTTTATTCTCCTTCTTTCACATATTTTGTTATGGTATCAGAGCTCTTCCATTGAAGAGCTCTGTTGCGCCCTCTGATCTTGTTTTTCTTCTCGGATCACCATGGAATCTGAACAAATACCTGGTGTGCATAGCTATCTTTACCTACATCCTAGTGAAAACCCAGCTACATCTCTTGTATCCCCTGTTCTCGATTCAACAAACTATCATTCATGGAGTAGATCATTCATTATAGCTCTTAGTGCGAAGAACAAAGTAGAGTTCATTGATGGTGGTGCTTCACCTCCTCTCAAGACAGATCCCCTTTATTCGGCGTGGCGTCGATGCAACAACATGGTTGTGTCGTGGCTGGTGCATTCGGTTTCTCCTTCAATTCGTCAAAGCATTCTCTGGATGGATCAAGCTGATGACATTTGGAAAGATCTCAAAACACGTTATTCGCAAGGTGATCTTCTGCGCGTATCTGATTTGCAACTTGAAGCTTCTTCTCTCAAATAGGGTGATTTGTCCGTGACGGAATATTTCACAAAGCTTCGAATCATATGGGATGAATTAGAAAATTTCAGACTTGATCCTACTTGTACCTGCACTATCAAATGTGTATGTTCTATTCTCACTATTATTGCTCAACGCAAACTTGAAGATCAAGCTATGCAATTTCTTCGTGGATTGAATGATCAATATAATAATGTGAAATCCCATGTTCTTCTCATGGAACCTCTACCACCCATCTCTAAGATATTTTCTTATGTGGTTCAGCAAGAACGCCAACTTCTAGGTCAGAATTTCATTGCTAATGTTCATCTTGATCGAACTTCCTCAGTTAATGTTGTTGCCTCACCCACCTGCACTCATTGCAACCGAACCGGACACACTGATGCTGTATGTTTTCGTAAACATGGTTTTCCCTCTACCATTAATCGAAGCAATAGAGGCTCCTCTAATCGACCCCAACGTATTTGCAATCATTGTGGAAAAACTGGTCATACCATTGAAGTTTGTTATCAGAAGCATGGTCTCCCTCCTGGATCTAAACCTTTATCAGATAAAACTGCAAGTGTCAATCACACAGTGACTGGTGATTGCAAAGTCACTAAGAGTACTCAATCCCTTGAATCTCAAGATGTTCGTTTCACCCCTCAGCAGTATCAGGCTCTGCTTGCTTTAATTCAACAATCATAAAATAATTATTTTAATTAAATATTTTATAATTTAAATTATTATTTTAATATTTCGGAAAGAATTCGACACATGTTTTTCGGAGGAACAATCATTTTCCAAAAGTGATATATTTTGTGGAAAAGACGAAAAGGCAAGCAATAAAGGAAGACATAGGAAAAAGTAAGTCAATGAAGAGTCATGCACAGAGGGCAAGAAGAGTGTCCAGGAAGGAAATGAAACGACAATAGTTTTTTTATAACACTTCTACCCCTCGTTTCTTTCTTTTTAAATCAATAATTATAAAGAGAAAACATTTTTGTTTTTTATACAATTATACAATTGCAAATTCAATTATAGCTAAATAATTTTTTTTAATAATTTTCTTGCAAGCAAAAAAAAACCACTTACAATTTTGAGTTTAATATCAATTATATTATTAACAAATAATCAACGTAAATTTTTTAGACTATTAATCGATCGGAAGGAATTTTAGTTTAGATATATAACTTTTTAAATTATTATTATAAAATTGATAATTTATCTTATTATAGCAACTAACAATCCAAAATATCATTGAGTGTGAAGTTATTATTGCAAAACTCAAGCAAAAGCATGCAGTGAGAATCTTGAAAGTTGAAACTCCATTTTCTCTTTATCTTTGGGTTGGTTTTCTGTAAAGGCTCTTCTGTGTGCACGACGACAAATATAGTACGAGGATTCTTCCTTTGTTGGTAAGGAATCTAGTTTTTGTGTATATTTTAGGGTCCATGTCAAAATTGTTTCTTGATCAAACCTTTTGTAGTGAAGGAAGCAGCATGAGACGAAGTTCAAACTTGAGGAGGAAAACTTTTGATGATCATGGCTTCGTAGACATTATATTTTCTTGGTCTCTTGAAGACATTTTCAATGAAGATCTTTACAAGGACATGGTCTGTTTATTTCCGTTAACTTCTTTTTTCATTATCTGTTTCCTAGTGTGAAAGTGAAAGTGTGAAACAGCTTAGTAACTGATTAACAAGTAATAAAAAAATCACCTTTATTTTTCTTTCCTTACCTAAATATGTTTGTGTGCAATGCCTTGAATTGAATCGGTTAGTTAAAAATGGGTTGAGTTTAGATTGGTTATCCATGTTCCATGGAGTTGACCGTTGACCGTCATCTTCCAACCACTTAACATGTGAGTTTGGTTTTGGTATTATGTTGTTTAGCATTTACTTTAAGGACTAGTTGTTTTTACACTTAGTTTACTTTTTGTATACTTCAAACAAAGCTTGTAAGATGATGATCCATTCTAACTTATATACATTATTACTCAAATTTACAAAACTTGCTTGTAGGTTCAATTTTAAAATGAGTTTCTTACTGTGTACATTTTACAGGTGAAACCTATTGATCTATCGTTCAATTCTGTTCAGCATTATTTTGGGTCCTACGTGTACCCCTTGTTGGAAGAAACTCGAGCACAGTTATGCTCAAGCATGGAAATCCTAACCAGTGCCCCTTTTGCTGAAGTAATTTCTCTTGAGGAGGCCAACTCTCGTGGTGATGCACTCTACAATGTTAGAACTGACGGTTGGAAAAACAGGTTCTCTGGTCATGGAAAAGAGCTGTATAAAACATTGTCTGGAGATGTTTTTATTTTGGCTGATTTTAAACCTGAAACTGTCAATGATTTACAAAGGGAGGGAAGGACATGGACTCTTGTAGTATCAGCTGGGGTTGCTGAGGAGGAGAGTGAGAATGATGACCCTAATATCATGTCCACTTTTAAAGTTGCTGCACCTAAAGAAATTGACATCAATGAAGAAGGGCAAAAGTCTTTGTTTATAGTATTTTTGACTAATATTATCCCTGATAGAAGAATATGGAGTGCACTGCACATGTCAAGAAATTCAAAGCTAATCAAGAAAATTTTATGCGCTGGTGGTTTGGTAAGAAAGTTAATATTATATTACGGTTTTAAGTCAATGTTTCAAATTTTAATTTATACTGTAATGAAGTGATAAGCTGTTGTCATCACTCTTACTGAGTTAACCTATATCAAAACATAACACTGCGATGATGTTCTGGTTATTTTAATATTAAGTGTTATTAATTGACGATTGTCTATTATAGTCATAGTTATTTCTATCACCTTTTACAAAGTAGATGGTGGGAAGCCATATTGTGATATATGTAATATCTTAGGATTCATACCAACAATATGAAATGTTTATAAAATTGGTAGTGGCATTTACTCTTTGATCGTTATGGAGACTATGTGGCACTTTCAAGTAGAACATTTTCTTAAAATTTACTTATTGCTACAACTAATGGATATGTGATGGGGCGCAGGTTGAGGAAAGTTGTGATTACTGCTCTCTACAGACAGATGCTGTAAAGGGTGACAAAACGTATCAAAGGTTATCATCAGAGTTGAATGAGTCTCAATATGAGGCAATTTGGGCGTGCCTATCTTCCTCCCAGTGCCATCATAAGTCTACTGTAGATCGCATTTGGGGTCCACCAGGAACTGGAAAAACCAAAACTCTGGGCACATTGCTTTTTGCTCTTATGAAGATGAACCTTAGGACTCTTGTCTGTGCCCCCACAAATGTTGCCATTAAAGAAGTGGCATCTCGTGTCTTGAGCATGGCGAGAGAATCATTTGATAGAAACTCTGATGCTTTGTTCTGTGCATTAGGAGACATGGTATTATTTGGGAATCATGAGCGGCTCAAAGTTGGTGCAGATATTGAAGACATATATTTGGATCATCGTGTCAAGCAGCTCATAATATGCTTTGCACCACGTACTGGTTGGAGATGTTGTTTTACTTCAATGATTGATTTTCTTGAAAATTGTGTTTCCCATTATCATATATTCATTGAAAATGAATTGAGAAAGAAGCAAGAACAGGTTGATGATAATAATATATGCAAGGCAAAAGACGATAACACTTCAGATTGTAGCAAGAGGATGCACAAATCTTTTCTTGAGTTTGTGAGAGAAAGATTTCTTTCTATAGCAATGCCACTCAAAGACTGTATTTCTATCTTGTGTACTCATATTGCTAGAAGTTACATTTTGGACCATAACTTTGAAGATTTGGTTTGCCTTATTCACAAAGTTGCTTCCTTTGAAGCATTGCTGTTACAAACTAATATTGTTTCTGAAGTATTGGAAAAGCTTTTTTCTCCTCCAGAAGAGCTAGATAGTTTCATCGAGTCATCTGTGGGTGTTGAGTACTTGTTGTACAAGAGCAGAACTGAATGCTTGTCTTTTTTAAGAACCGCTAAAAGTTCACTTGATGATCTCAAGCTTCCAAATACTATGAATGAAGAATCAATTAGAGAGTTTTGTTTACGATCATCATCATTAATATTTTCTACAGCATCTAGTTCCTTTAAGCTGCATTCTGTTGTCATGGAGCCATTGAAGGTTTTGGTGATTGATGAAGCTGCACAGTTGAAGGAATGTGAATCAATCATACCCCTGCTACTTCCAATCATAGACCATGTCGTTCTTGTTGGAGATGAATGCCAGCTACCAGCAATGGTTGCAAGTAATGTATGTACATGCTACTTTATTTTCAATTTTCATTATCCTTGGTTCGTACATTTTAACCTTCTGAAGCCTAGAAAGTTTTGCAATGCCAATTAATATTTATGCCTGTCCTTGTTCTGTCTAAGGTGGCTTCTGAAGTTGGTTTTGGAAGAAGCCTATTTGCGAGGCTGAGCTCTCTGGGTCATCCAAATCATTTTCTCAACATACAGTACAGGATGCATCCAGCAATAAGTTCATTTCCAAATTCACACTTCTATTTAAACCAAATTCTTGATGCTCCAAATGTTGTGAGAAAGAACTATAGAAAGCAATATCTCCCAGGGCCAATGTTTGGACCATATTCCTTTATAAATGTAGTTGGTGGCAGTGAAGAGTTTGATGATGCTGGACGAAGTCGGAAAAATGTGGTTGAAGTAGCAGTTGTGATGAAAATAATTAAAAATTGTTTTAAAGGTTCGTGTATGTATGTGAAATCTATCATGTGTATTTTCATTTTCCTTGAAAAGGAATATACCAGTCAAAAGTGAAAGTTTTTCATTGATTTCAAAACTACTTTGTTGTATTTGGCTTAATATTTAGCAGGTGATAGTTTAAGTAATATCCGGATCAACTATGTAGTGTTTTTAAGGGAATTTTTTTTCTAGAAATGTGTATGATAAAAATGTGAAATATACTAGATGTTTTAATTTGTGTTTTTAAATAACTTTGTTAATATACACATTTTCTAAGTAATATATGCCCTTCTTTTACCCTATGCAGCATGGCGTGACTCCAAGGAGAACCTCAGTATAGGTGTAGTGTCTCCCTATGCTGCCCAAGTTGTAGCAATACAGGATTTACTTGGAAAGCAGTATGATAGTTACCATGGATTTGATGTAAAGGTAAAAACCATTGATGGTTTCCAGGGTGGAGAGCGGGATGTTATTATATTATCAACTGTCCGAACCAATTGCAGTACTACTTCACTTCAATTTATCTCCAATCACCAGAGGACTAATGTTGCTCTCACAAGAGCTAGGTAGAGCTTACTATGTACTATTCGTTTTTGCATTTGTCTTTTGTGCGAAAATAAAATTTGTATTAGTCTTGACACACGGAGTAATGTTTGCACTTTGATATTGAACAGGTACTGTTTGTGGATTTTGGGAAATGAAAGGACCTTGTCAAAGGAGGAAAATGTTTGGAAATCTTTGGTTCATGATGCTAAAAAGCGTCTATGTTTCTTCAATGCTGATGAAGACAAGGATTTGGCAAAAAGCATCTGGGACACCAAGAAAGAGTTGGATCAATTAGATGATTTACTTAATGCAGATAGTTTTCTTTTCAAAAACTCCAGGTGGAAGGTATTTGTAATCTCATTCTTGTAATTTTACTTTTTGTTCTTTTTGCCGATTTTCTGATCAGGTGTCTGACCTTTTAGATCACATTCCCGCCTTGTGTTTATTGCAGGTTCTTTTCAGTGATATCTTCCTTAGATCATTTAAGAAACTGCGATCAGAGCAGACTAAAAAGTCAGTTGTTAGCCTTTTGCTCAAACTCTCCAGTGGGTGGAGACCTAAAAGGATGAAAGTGGACTTACATTGTGGAAATGGAACATCACGGATATTGAAGCAATTCAAAGTTGGAGGTCTCTTTGTTATTTGTTCAACAGATATAGTAAAAGAATCAAGGTATACTCAAGTTTTGAAGATATGGGATGTACTGCCTCTAGAGGATATTCCAAAATTAGTGAAGCGTCTGGATAGTATATTTGGAAGCTACAGTGATGAATTTATAAGTCGCTGCTGTGAGAAATGCACAGAGGGGTAAGTTTTATAAGTTACATTCAGTTAGACCTAAACTGTTATAGCTGACTGATATCATGTTTTTTGCTTCTCTTCTAGGAATTTGGAGGTCCCAGTAAGTTGGGAAAAAACAATTGAGATCATTAAATTTAAGAATCTTTATAATGATGGAAATGATGCTGAATTAAGTGGTTGTGATCAAAGAATTTATGTGGAGAACTCAAAGGTTGAGGAGAGCTTGTTATTGATGAAATTCTACTCCTTATCATCAGTTGTAGTTGGCCACTTGCTATCTGATCGTAACAGTGATGAATTGGATCTTCCATTTGAAGTGTCAGATGAAGAATATGAAATAATCCTCTTTCCTAAAAGTACATTTGTATTGGGTCGCTCTGGTACTGGAAAAACCACTGTTTTGACTATGAAGTTATTTCAAAAGGAGAGCAAGCATCATATGGCTGTTGAAGAAACATATGGAATTAACACTGCTTCAGTTCCTTGTTTGAATCGTGATAAAGAGTATAAAGAGAGTTCTTCTGTGAATGATAGGCCTGTCTTGCACCAGTTATTTGTTACAGTGAGTCCTAAATTATGTCAAGCAGTAAAACATCACGTTGTGCGATTGAAAAGGTGCGGAACTTCTACTATAGAATAGACAATATGCTTTTCTTTCTCATAGTTGATGAGTGACAGGTAACAGATGTTGAATTTGACATTGGCTGGCAATCTTTGGATTAATCCCTTCTGTATTTCTTAATTCTTACCATTACCGATTTGTCTATTTGTCTTCTCTTTGAAATATTTGGATTTATTGAAAGGGAACGTTTGTATTGATATATTACATACATGCAAACTTGAAAATAATTTATTGGGAGATTTTTTTGTATTGTTATATTTTCTCCATATCTTTTATACATGTTGGTTGTGGAATAAGTTTTCATGTGGAAAAAGAACTGGATCAAAATTTGGGGTTCTGTCAATATGAAGGATATAACACTGTTATGTGATTGTTTAGTATATAGAGGATTTCATGAAATGCAATAGTTCAATGAAAAGATTTTTTTTTTTTCATTTTGTTATGAAATTAGCAACTTATGCTGTCATTGATTGTAGTATTTTTCTTTTCTTTTTTTTTGTATCAATATCTTTTACAATTGTCTTGTTGTCCAAGTGGAGGGAAGGGGGGATTGGGAGAGAAATGGTCGTTTATGAGTTTTTACTTTTTAAACAACTAATATGTTATAATATACTATATGACACCCCAACAAATTTAAATATAGTTGTTATGAATCAAATATAAGAATTTTAAACAGAATTTAGTTTTATTGAAATACAGTGTAATAAAAACGGTAATATGATTTATTGTCTTGTTCAGGGATCTACCTTCCTAGATGATAATTTTATAGATAACTTAAAAGCTTAACTTAATTCATTAAACAAAAGAATTTTTAGACTAACTTGTACTAGAGACTAAATTTGTAAAGTTATGTGGTTGTAAAATATAATCTATTACCTTACTAGTTAAGTCATAAAAGCAACAACAAAATATTCAGGGAGGAATCTTGTTTGTCACAATCTCAAGTAATCATCTATTTGTTTTGTTTGCGACTCTTACAATGTTAAATCACTTTAGTGGTGAAGCATTGAATAATTTGAGTATAATTTTCTTTGGATATTATTCATTAATTCTGAAATATAAATAATAATAATATATAAATATTTTTTACTTTTTTTTAATAGTCTATTTGTGTTGAAATATAGTTGTATTACTTTATTTATTTCAAGTTCTTTTTTGTAAAGGTTAAAGTTTTTTTTTTCTTTCATTCATATTTGTTGATTGATATGACTTTTAGAAATGCAAATTGTTTAATTGAAATAGGTTTTATTACAAAATAAACCTTCATTTGTTTCTTTAGTCAAAAGATAGATTATTGATAAAGATTTACCAATTTTATTTTTTTAATCAATAAAAAGGTTTTATTATTTTTTGTCATGGGTAGTTGTTGATCAATAATTTTTTGTAAATGTATATTATTCAGATTATAAGACGTTTTATTTACAAAAATGAGCATTATTGACTTGATGTGAAAAGTTTCTTTTATGAGATTATGAATTTTTTGTTTTGTTATTTGTACAAGATACCATGTAATAATAGTATTTAAAAGTTCTTAATTCCAGATATCATTAGATAATAACATGTGGAGTTCCTTTGAAATAATTTTGTTCTCATGTTTCACTCATTTCACTTAATTTCATTTATTTCATAGTTTTTATTCATAGTTAGTTTGATATTAACGTTATTTGACCTTGTTATGCATACAGATTTATATGTGGTGCGAATATTTCTGTCGACAGCAGTTCAATTGAGGAAGATATTGTTGATGTTGATACATCAATACAATTTAAGAATATGCCAGACTCTTTCATGAATCTTCCTATTAACTCATATCCCCTTGTGATAACATTTCAGAAGTTTCTAATGATGCTTGATGGGACTATAGGGGTTTCCTATTTTGAGAGATTTAGTGACTTATCTTCTGATGGTCAGAATCTTGGTGTAAGATCTGTTGCTTTGGAAACATTCATTAGGAAGAAAGAGGTGACTTATGACAGGTTTGATTTGTTATATTGGCCCCATTTTAACTCCCAGTATACAAAGAAACTTGATTCCTCCAGAGTGTTTACTGAAATCATATCCCATATAAAAGGAGGTATGCAAGCTGTGGAGTCTATTGAAGGTAAGCTAAGCCGCGAGGAATATCTTTCACTGTCTGAAAACCGTGCATCAAGTTTAATCAAGCAGAAAAGAGATATCATATATGATATTTATCAAAGTTATGAGAAAATGAAGATGGATAGAGGGGATTTTGATTTGGCTGATATTGTAATTGACCTTCATCGTCGGCTCAAAATAAACAGATATGAGGGTGATGAGATGCACTTCGTGTATATTGATGAGGTGCAAGATTTAACCATGAATCAAATTGCTTTATTCAAATATGTTTGCAAGAATGTAGATGAAGGTTTTGTTTTCTGTGGAGATACAGCACAAACTATTGCAAGGGGAATTGATTTTAGGTTCCAAGATATAAAATCTCTCTTTTACAGGAAATTTGTGCTAGAATCAAAGGGAAGCACATATAATCAAGGAAAAGTGAAAGGGAAAACTTCAGATATTTTTTTATTGAATCAGAACTTTCGCACTCATGCAGGAGTGCTCAAACTATCCCAGAGCACCATTGAACTTCTTTTTCGTTTTTTCCCTCATTCTATTGATGTTTTGAAACCTGAGACCAGTTTGATATATGGGGAAGGTCCAGTGGTTCTTGAATGTGGAAGTAGAAAAAATGCAATTGTAACTATTTTTGGCAATAGTGGACATGTGGGTGGGAAAATTGTTGGATTTGGTGCAGAGCAAGTAATTTTGGTACGAGATGATTCTGCCCGTAAGGAAATTTTAGACTATGTGGGGAAACATGCTCTTGTTTTAACCATTTTAGAATGCAAAGGGCTTGAGTTTCAGGTTGTTATAAAAGCATCTTATCGGATTTATTTCTATTGTATATGTTAATTAATGTTGTGTAATTTTTTTTAACTGACGTGTTTTTTTTATAGGATGTGTTGCTATTCAACTTTTTTAGCTCTTCACCTTTGAAGAATCGATGGAGAGTGATATATGAGTATATGAAGGAACAAGATATGCTGGAACCTACTGAAATTAAGTCGTGTCCAAGTTTCACTGATTCCAAACACAATCTCTTGTGCTCTGAACTTAAGCAGCTATATGTGGCTATAACTCGTACAAGACAGAGATTGTGGATATGTGAGAATATAGAGGAGTACTCTAGACCCATGTTTGATTATTGGAGAAAAAAGGGTCTGGTACAATTTAAAGAACTGGATGGTTCACTTGCTCAGGCAATGAAAGTTGCTAGTAGTCCAGAAGAATGGAGGTCACGTGGCAAGAAGGTTGTTTTTATAATCAACCGTTATATTTATTGTGCTTTAATAGAAATGAATTAAAATAACACATCATGCTGTTTTTTCATTAGATTGAATGATTGTTTATTGTTGTCTCGTGAGGTTGTTCATTTTTGTTTGCTTTGAACTTTACATATTGAATATACCTCATAAATTGGATGTAATATCTCTAATAGTTTGTGTTGGGTACAGCTGCACCGAAAGAAAAAACTTTCGGTGGTTTTTTAATTAAAAAGCGGGTCCCTGAAACGTGGTCTGTAGCACCAGAATCCAAAATCCAAGAGGAAGGTGTAGAGATGACAGAACAAACAATAGGAAAAGAAGTACCTGAGGAAGAGGAAGGTTTTGTGAAAGAAGAAGAGATAGACCCGATTTGGTTAACACAAGGAGAAACAGATGCTGAAGTTCCAATAGTGGATTGTTGAATTAAAGCAAGCAGAGCCTGATACTGCTGAGGGGTGAAACGAACATCTTGAGATTCAAGGGATTGAGTACTCTTAGTGACTTTGCAATCACCAGTCACTGTGTGATTGACACTTGCAGTTTTATCTGATAAAGGTTTAGATCCAGGAGGGAGACCATGCTTCTGATAACAAACTTCAATGGTATGACCAGTTTTTCCACAATGATTGCAAATACGTTGGGGTCGATTAGAGGAGCCTCTATTGCTTCGATTAATGGTAGAGGGAAAACCATGTTTACGAAAACATACAGCATCAGTGTGTCCGGTTCGGTTGCAATGAGTGCAGGTGGGTGAGGCAACAACATTAACTGAGGAAGTTCGATCAAGATGAACATTAGCAATGAAATTCTGACCTAGAAGTTGGCGTTCTTGCTGAACCACATAAGAAAATATCTTAGAGATGGGTGGTAGAGGTTCCATGAGAAGAACATGGGATTTCACATTATTATATTGATCATTCAATCCACGAAGAAATTGCATAGCTTGATCTTCAAGTTTGCGTTGAGCAATAATAGTGAGAATAGAACATACACATTTGATAGTGCAGGTACAAGTAGGATCAAGTCTGAAATTTTCTAATTCATCCCATATGATTCGAAGCTTTGTGAAATATTCCGTCACGGACAAATCACCCTATTTGAGAGAAGAAGCTTCAAGTTGCAAATCAGATACGCGCAGAAGATCACCTTGCGAATAACGTGTTTTGAGATCTTTCCAAATGTCATCAGCTTGATCCATCCAGAGAATGCTTTGACGAATTGAAGGAGAAACCGAATGCACCAGCCACGACACAACCATGTTGTTGCATCGACGCCACGCCGAATAAAGGGGATCTGTCTTGAGAGGAGGTGAAGCACCACCATCAATGAACTCTACTTTGTTCTTCGCACTAAGAGCTATAATGAATGATCTACTCCATGAATGATAGTTTGTTGAATCGAGAACAGGGGATACAAGAGATGTAGCTGGGTTTTCACTAGGATGTAGGTAAAGATAGCTATGCACACCAGGTATTTGTTCAGATTCCATGGTGATCCGAGAAGAAAAACAAGATCAGAGGGCGCAACAGAGCTCTTCAATGGAAGAGCTCTGATACCATAACAAAATATGTGAAAGAAGGAGAATAAAATAACTGCAAGAGAATACTCAATATCCCATATGATATTATTGATTGCAAAACGCTGCATATATACAAGAAGGGAGAGAGGAAAAATAACAGAAAGATATGCATGTAACAAAAAAGAAAAACAGAAAGATACGTGGCCCAAAATAGATGATGAGCAGCCCATAAAAGCCCACAAAATAGAAAGGAAAAAAGGGAGCTAAGAATAAAAATGATAAAATAGAATATTACTGAAAAATTAATATGAACTACTGAAATATTAAGAGTACTTATTCATTTTATTATAAGTATGATTTTATTAAAAGAAACGTATTTTCAATAACTGCATCCCTTTTGCTAGTTTCAAATACTTTAAAATTGATGTAATTTAAGTGAAAACAAATTTGAAAAAAAAATATTATTGCATAAAAAATGAGAATATAAGTTATTTTGAAGAAAAAAAGCTCAAACGTTAAAACTACAATCATCCTGAAAAAAAGAGTATCAAAATTGTATAATTATGATATAATGTAAAATCTAATTCGCGCAATCGGAAATTTCGAACATAAAGAACCATTTGCAGAATTTTCGATTTTTTTTATAAAAAAAAAAAAAAAAAAAAAAAAAAAAAAAAAAAAAAAAAAAAAAAAAGAGAACTATATCATCAACATAAATTAGAATAGCAGTAGTAATGGCAGGAGAACACTTAAGAAACAGTGAGTGATCAGAAGGGGATGGAACATATCCATGTTGAATGAGAAATGACGAGAGACGAGCATACCATTGTCGGCTGGCTTGTTTAAGACCATAAAGAGAGCGCTGAAGACGACAGACCTGACCAGGAAAAGAGGGTGTAATCCCCGGAGGTAATTGCATGTAAACTTCCTCATTTAGATCACCATGTAAAAAAGAATTGTTAACATCAAGCTGCTTCAAGTGACAATTATGAATAGCTGCCAAAGAAATGAGAAGTCGAACAGTGGTTAATTTAGCAACAGGGGAAAAAGTGTCGAAAAAATCGAGACCTTCCATTTGGGTATACCCCTTTGCAACAAGGCGGGCCTTGTATCGATCTATGGAACCATCAGCCTTGTGTTTAACTTTATAGACCCAACGACATCCAATTGCTGTCTTGTGAGGAGGCAAAGTAGTAAGAACCCAAGTATTATTCGCTTCTAATGCAGAAATCTCCTCATGCATTGCTTTAAGCCAAGAATCACTTTTGGAAGCTTCAACAAAATTCTTTGGTTTGGTAACAGAGGAAATGGAGAAAACATAGTGATGAAAAGAAGGAGAAAGACGATCATAAGAAATAAAAGAGTGAAGAGGATGACGAATACCTGTAGAAGAATGAGGACCAGTTGATGTAAATGCACCATGAAAATCCTGAAGATATGTAGGCGGTCGACGTGGACGAGTAGAACGTCGAAGAGGTGGAGGAGAAGAATGTTGGTCAGGAGGGGGTGGTTCAGAGGACTCAACAATTGAGGAAGAAGGGAAGGAGGGATAATCAGCATAATTGTAAGGAATGGGTACAGGAGAAGAAAAAGAAGGAGAATTGGGCTTAGTGAAAGAAGGAAAATGATCTTCATGAAAAATAACATTCTGTGAGACTAAAAGACCATGAGTGTGAAGGTTGACAAGGAGATAACCCTTAGTGTGGGGTTTAAAACCAAGAAAAATGCAGGGATGAGCACGGGGATCGAGTTTGGTTCTATGAGAGGTAATTATACTGCTGTAGCATAAACATCCAAACACACGGAGTATGGAAATATCGCATGGGTGCCCATAAAGTTTTTCAAAAGGGGATATATTATGCAAAAAAGGGGTAGGAATGCAGTTTATAAGAAACGCAGCATGCTTAAGAGCAAAACACCAAAAAATAGAAGGTAAATTGGCTTGAAAAAGAAGAGATCGAGTCACGTTTAAAAGATGTTGGTGTTTTCTCTCAACGATGCCATTTTGTTGAGGGGTTTCAACACAAGTTGTTTGATGAATGATTCCTTTAGATGAAAAATATTGGGTCATAGAGAACTCTAAACCATTATCAGTGCGTATCACTTTAACATTCTTATCAAATTGTGTTTCAACTTGATTAATGAAATTTATGATGTGTTGTCGAGTTTCTGATTTATTTTGCATAAGAAACAGCCAAGTAAAACGAGTGTGATCGTCGACAATGGTTAAGAAATATTTATGTCCATGCATAGAAGTAACAGAACAAGGCCCCCATATATCCATGTGTAAGAGATCAAAAGGTTGCAATGCATATGAATGACTCAAAGGAAATTAGAGTTTCTTTTGTTTAGCATGATGACAAGTGTTACATGAAAAGGACTTATCAACAGACAAAAAAGGGAAAGATTGTTTCATTAATTGTAAACATTCATGGGATAAATGGCCCATGCGAAAATGCCATAAGTCAATGGGTTGGATGCTACACTTGGGGTGAACAATAATGGAATTGGTGGAGGGATTATGAATGTTGCTGGCAGTGAAACTGTAGAGTCCTCCATTTACATCAACTGTACCAATCTTCTTCATGGTATTCGTTTCCTGGATGATGCAAGAATGGTGATCAAAAATGAGTTGACAAGATAGAGAGGAAACTAATTTAGAGATAGAAATCAGGTTATAAGTAAAATTTGGAATATATAAAACATCAACAAGATAGAAAGAGTTGGTAAACTTAACAATACCAGAGTGAGTGGCTAACACATGTTGCCCAGTAGGAAGCTTAACATCAATAGGGTTAATTGGTGAAAAAGAAGAAAAATGTGAAAGAGAAGAAGAAACGTGGTCTGTAGCACCAGAATCCAAAATCCAAGAGGAAGGTGTAGAGATGACAGAACAAACAATAGGAAAAGAAGTACCTGAGGAAGAGGAAGGTTTTGTGAAAGAAGAAGAGATAGACCCGATTTGGTTAACACAAGGAGAAACAGATGCTGAAGTTCCAATAGTGGATTGTTGAATTAAAGCAAGCAGAGTTACTATTAGGAATAAATTAAATTATTTTAGTGCACTTCTTCTGTCTAGCAATTTTGTTTATCTACAAATGATATTGAATCAATTTGATTGTTCCTTTGCAGCTATATTATCAAAATAACTATGAGATGGCAACAATGTGTTTTGAAAGAGCAGGGGATTCTTACTGGGAGAGAAAGTCTAAGGCTGCTGGTCTTAGGGAAAATGCAAACCGTTTGCGTGATTTGAATTCTGAGGATGCAAATGCAATGCTTAGGGAAGCTGCTGAAATTTTTGAAGGCATAGGAATGGCTGAATCTGCTGCTCAGTGTTTTTCTGATTTAGGGGATTTTGAAAGAGCTGGTATGAACTTGATCTTTTGCATCCATGTTTATATTTTAATGTCATTTGCTTATAAAATATTTTGCTAGTTTTGGTTGTTATGAATTAAGAAATCAGTTTATAAAGTATCTTAAATGGTCATGTTTTGCATTCGTTGGCTGTGGATACCCAGGTTGCAGATTGGAACCAGCTCAATAACAGAAAAAAAAAAAAAAAAAAAAAAATATTGTTCATTTCACTAATTAATATAAATGTTGGAACTGATAAATACAAGTCTGAGATGTAGTCCTATGATGTAAATATTAAATACACAAATATTTACTTTTATATGATGTGGCCATGTGGGATTGGGAAGCTTTTTCATTGTGTTTTTTCCTCGTTCTCTATTTTGTTCTTTTTTATGAGGGTTCCATTTTTTTTTCTTCATCTTAATAATTTTATTTTATGTAGAAGGAAAAAAAAATCCGCAGTTGTAACTCACTGTTATGTCTTATGTTCGATATGTGTTATTGCATTGCATACTATAATAAATCAATTTACTTTGAGTATTGAGTACTGTCTTTTATTGTACAAATTCATATTTTTGAACTTTTGTTGTACTTACTTTGCCTATTTATGTACATTGATTGATAGTTTTTATTTTTTCTAAACCATTTGCACAAATGAAATTGAATAAATACTTGTTGTTTGTTCTTACTTACTTTCTTTTATGTATACGTAGGGATTATGCTAATGCTAGATACATGTCTAGTTTTTTTTTAGGTTTAAATATATTTTTATTCCCTGTAAAATAGATGATTTTTATTTTGGTTCCCGAAAAAAAAAATTCTTTGTTTTTCATCCTTCTAAAATTTATAAACATTGTTTTCAATTCTTGTAAAATGAGTAAATTTTGGATTTAATTCCTGTAAAATATTTTTCTTTGATTTTCATTTCTCTAAAATCTAAATTCATTATTTTTAGTTCTTAATGATCATTTTAAGATAGATAAATAACATTCATTTTAAAGACTTATAAAATTCTTTAGAGATATTAAATATCAATATGATATCGGTAATGATTGTAGACTTGTAGATAACATATAAGAAGGTTACTTAACCTTTTAATAAATAAAAAATAGTTAAAAATGATCACATAAAAATCAGAGACTAAAAAAAATAGTTACAATTTTATAGCGATGAGAAAACAAAGAAAATATGTTTTCTGGGCATACTAAAGTGCAGCAAAATATGAAAGGCTTATTCAGATAATGGGTCTGTTTGTTTAAACTTTTTTTAATAATTTTTTATAAATAAAATAAGCACTTTTTATTTTTTGATGTGTTTGTCTAAACTTTTTTTTATAAAAAAAAAAAAAAAAAAAAGAAGCTATTTTCTGCCTTTTAGAAGCAAGTCTTGTCTACTACTTAAAAAATTGTTTTTTTATAAAAACATTTATTTAGAATCACTTCTTTTTAAATTTAAGCAAACGGATTCAATATAAAAGTTTGTTTTAGTACAAAATATATGGATGAGAATCTAATATCACTTTTTTAATGTTAAAGTACCTAATTGTCCCTATTCAAGTCATATGAGTGTTATTTTATTACATCGTTGAAGATGAATGCATTTCATCATTTCCCAAGGCAAATTTTCTGTCAACATTCTGTAGAAGGGGAAAAACCCATGCCATGGGAGGCAAATTTTCCTTTTCTCTCTTTGTTTTAGTCATCGACTCATAAATAACATATTCATGTTTATTTTTTCATTCTTAACTACACGTTTTTTTTCGCATTCTCATATTTATGCTTCATTGGAAATTAATCTACGATATTAATCTTGTTTATGCTAACATAACAGGGAAGCTCTATTTGGAGAAATGTCAAGAGCCTGATTTGAAAAGAGCTGGGGATTGTTTTTACTTGGCGGGTTGTTATGAAGTTGCAGCTCGAGTGTATGCAAGAGGCAGTTTCTTCACCGATTGTTTGAATGTTTGTGCAAAAGGAGGGTTGTTTGACATTGGCTTGTATTACATTCAACATTGGAAACAGAATGAAAATGCTGACAATTGTATAGTAAAATGTCATGAACTACACACAATAGAACAAAAATTTCTGGAAAGTTGTGCTCGTAATTACTTTGACCGTAAAGATACCAGAACCATGATGAAATTTGTTAAAGCTTTTCATTCAATGGATTTGAAGCGCCAGTTCTTACAATCCTTAAATTTACTTGATGAGCTTCTTGTGTTAGAAGAAGAGTCAGGGAACTTTGTGGAGGCCGTAAACATTGCTAACATGATGGGTGATGTTCTACATGAGGTTGATCTACTTGGTAAAGCTGGTAAATTCATGGAAGCTTGTGAACTTATGCTGTTGTATGTACTCGGGAATTCTCTTTGGTCCGCTGAAAGTGAAGGATGGCCCTTAAAGCAGTTTAAACATAAAGATGGGCTTTTGAATAGAGCATTATCATTTGCAAAGGAAGAGTTGAGCATCTTTAATGTGATTGCATCTACTGAAGCTGAGATATTATCAAATGAGCATAAGAGCATTTTTGAGACGGTCAATCATTTGATATCTTCTCGCACATATGGGAGTATCAAAGGTGAAATATTATGTTTGTGGAAGCTTTTGGATGCTCATATTCATCTGAACTCCTCCAAGTTTGTCTGGCTAGACAATTTAATTGATGATTCTGTGGAAGAAATGATATTGAAGAATCAATTTTCTGTTGATACATTGTTTCATTGTTGGACATGTTGGAAAGATAACATTGTTCGAATATTAGAATCTCTTCCAAATCTCAAATCTCAAGATATTCACCATAATAGCAGTTATGGAATGTTTGCGTTGAATTATTTGGGTGTTCGGAAGCAAACTTCTAATTTTAATGACATTTACATCTTGCTCATCCCTGAAGCTACTTGGGTGAAAAAACTGGGTGATAGATTTCTAAAGAAGAAAGGAAGGCTAGTTTCAGTTGATGTTCATGATTTAGTTTCTGCTGCTCAGAGCTATTGGTCTTTACAGTTTCTTTCTGTTGGCATGAAGGTCTTGCACATCCTTGACTCACTCTACAAGTTTTCCGTTAATAAAGCTCTTTCAGAATTTTGTCAATTCAGGTCTTTGTTGCTGATCTATGAGGTTTCCAAATTTCTCCTAGAATCCAAATTTTTTAACTTCAGCCATGATAACTTGATAACATTGGGGAAATTTTACAGAAGTCCAATTGAGTGTTCATTGCGCTATTTAGTTCCTCTAGACTGGAGGAAATCACTATTAAAAGACATGGTTTCTCTTAGAACAACAAAAACTTGTAAGGATTTGGTTCAGGATGTGATCTATGAAAGCATTAATCGGAAAGATAAGCATAGGCTGAGTTATGGTCAAATTGGACGCATGGTAGTCATGATTCTTGGTACAGCTAATCTAAAAGGTGAACTGTTCATGAACATTTTGTCAAGATTTAAAGATAATCCAGCTTGGAAAGAGTTCATTAGTGGCTTGCAATTAAATTCAGCTAAGGGAAATTCACCAGGCAATGAAGCTTTTTACGAGAAGCAGTGCATGCATGATGTTTTCAACCTATATGAAGCTTTGCGGTACACTTACAGTGTGAATTGGGCAAGAGAAGTTGACTATATATCTCCCAATTGTTTTATGTACCTCCTTGACCGCCTTTTGCTCTCAACATCGTGCTGGAAGGGGATCATTTTTGCTACAAAATCATCTTTTGTTGAATGGCTCATTCATCAGGATGAAAATTCCCCTGCAAATTTGAGTTCATTGGCTAAGCTGCAACCATGTTTTGAAAATGTCCATAATTTTATTTTTGCTGTCATTCGTGATCTTCTTTATGATCAAAATGGTACCATAAATTGGATAAGAAGATCATACCCAGTCGAGGAAGATTATTTCCCGTTGTTTCTTCTGAGATTGGTTGTTTCATTATGTTTGCTTCATCTGAGCTCTGGAAAATGTTTAGAGTTGCTTCGCAATTTGTTGAAGAAGAACTATTTGATGTCTCGTCTGCCTCCAGAATTTTGTAATGTTCTTAAGAGAGGAAGGAATCAGCTTGGTTTGAAAGTCTTTGCTGAAGCATTTAAATCGATTGACAATCCACTGGTTGTCGCCAGGTTCTGTAACACTTCTCCAGAAATGTTGTGTCCAGATGCTGTGTTTGTGGATTTAACAATGTGCCAAAGAAATCTTATATTTGAAGTATTGTTTCCAAATAGAGTTGACCGTGTGGATGAGGAAACTGCAGCGGTTGTAGAAGCTTCTGACTCACCGTCTAAAGAGTTTCCTTCAAAAAACTGTTCCAGTTCTCCAAATAAAAGCTGTGTTCCTGTTCCAGATCAGACATCAGATAGTGGGATTACATATGATGTTAACATGTCTATTAATGGTGACTCTTTCTGGGCTATGTTGGAAAATTTACGGCTGGCAATTGATGAATTGGGTGTTGATGATAAGTTATTACCTAATTTCACAATGATAATGGTAAGCCAAAAAATTTTGATGTGTAATTAAATACATCATTAAAATGGGCTTCTATCACAGTTGTGTCTGACATATCTTTTGTTTTTGCATTTTCTATGCTCTAGGATACTTTGAATACTGGGTATGAGCGTTTAACTTGTTCTATACGTGGAAGCTTGTCACAAAACCCTGTTAACATTATTGAAAACAAAAATGATATGGAGGGATTGATGAGCTTGCTTGATGAAATGAAGCAACTTTCTTCCGCATTGACTGCCAGGTTCAAAATGTAAGTAACTCGCATTAATATAGCAAATATTTTTTTGCCACTTCTATCTTTAACCTTTTATTCTTCCCCTTTTTGCAGTGGTGATGCAGTGAATGAGAACCACATTCTAATTGAGGAACTCTGTAGGAGAATTCTTTCAAGACGAACAAAAGTAGGACCTATCTTGAATCAACTGTTTCTGCAGTCAATGATGAATAGCAATGTTGATTGTGAGCCATCACAAGCCAAAGCTGCTGCGGCCAATGATGAACCTGAACAAAATGATTTGGAAGAATCAAAAGATAAGGTGTCCAAGAATTCGACAGGTTCCATCAACATAGGACATGGAGACACCAAGGAAAATAATGCCAAGGGGAAGAAAAGCAAAAACAAGAAAGGCAAGGGAAAGAGA